CACCCCACCCCAAGATTTTAAAGATATAAATCTTTTTGCACCAAGTAACACAGCAGAAATGGATACCAGAAGAAACTTTCAGGAAAACAAAAGAAAATTAAGTTTAAAAAAAGCAGGCGTTTCAAAGCTGACAAACACCTCAGATTTGACACAGTAGTTGGGCAAAAATACATGAAAGGCAAGCGGTATCTAAAAGGCAGGCGGCATTTCAAATCATCTAACAGCAAGCTAAAAAAATAAATGTACCTTAAAAAGAGAATGTGTATTCTTCTCACGGAAGTTATAAAAAATTAATAATGCTTTTGGCTACAGACAATAGGTTAATAGATTCCAAACAGTAAACACTTTCCCAATATATTCTAGATTCTTCTACTATAACGCCATAAGGCAAGAAATAAAAAGTTAGCGTGTTTTTACAATAATGTTTTTTCTGGGGAGAGGGTATAGCTTGCTAGTAAGGTATTTAGCCAGGATGTAAAAAAAAAAAACCTGGGTTCAACTCCACTACCACTACACACACACAAAATTAGGTAAATAAACCACCCACAAAAGCTTGACAGGGGTGAGAGGGAACTAGCAGGGAAGGAGATGAGAGCAATCAGAATGTATTACCTACATACATGAGAAAAAAAATTAATCATTAAAACACCTCTCAGATAAACAAAATCATTGAAACAAGCATCATGGATAATTTGGCTTATATTCTGAACAGAAGCTAAATTTGTAATGTCAATAAAACATAGACGGTCATTGAATACAGTGGATGGCCAGGTGGGACCCATTATCATAATGCCGATAAACATGGCATCTAACAGGATGACACTTGGGGAATTCTCCTGTGTCCAAAACACAAGAGGCAGAGGCTGAGGATATAAGGTTTGTTTAATGGCATAAGTGTTTAAAGAGAGCCATCACATAGAGTTTAGGAGTTTTAACTGACAAAACCCATCAGTTGTGATGTAGCTGCCAGGCAAAGCTAACGCAGATTTTTCGGCTGCATGAATAGATGACGCACACCTTCGAGGACAAGAGAGACACCAATCAGCTCTACTCTGCACAAATCACACTCGGGCACTGGGCATTTGGTTTGAGGCCCCAGTGACCTGAGAAGGTCCCTCCTTCTGTTCAAAGAAGACTCAGGTGTGAGGGCTCGCAAAAGAGATTCTATGCAAAACAGGGTGGGAGAGAGAGAAGGGTGTGGCCTGATCCAGGGCATCCCCTTTGAACATGAAGAAGATGTTCTCAAAACTTAATGGAGGGTGTTTCTGTTGAAGGGCACACTCAAGGGAATGCGTGTTTCCGTGACTCAGAATATTCCAAAGATGACAGAACTTCTCAAGAAGACAGCCGGTCCCCACTCACAGAAAGTGTCCTACCCTACTTGGTGTAAATAGCAGCAAGGGTTATATTTTCAAGATTTATTATTTTCATTTATGGACATGTGCAGGTACCCTAGAAGGTGGGAACTGAGTCCCCTGGAATTGCTGGAGCAGGCTGTTGTGAACCATTTGGTACTGGCGCAGTGCTCTTAACTGCTGAGCCATCTCTGTAAACCCCATGACGAGGATTTTAAAACCAGTGTTTAAAATAAAAAAAAAAAAAATGGTTGGATGGGACCAAGCTTCCAATCCTGGAATTCTTCAATTTATTGGAACCTAGTGTTCCTTCACTATGGTCAGTTAGCATCTGGGTTTGATTTCTTACAGGTTTTACGGGTTTTTACAGGTTCTTACAGGTTTCTGGCATCAACCTCTTGAGTCCAAGAGGTGAATATAGTATTATATTATAGGTGATATAAAGGTCTCAGGATTTGTAACTTAACAGAGACTGGGCCCCTAGTGAAACCAACATAGATCAGGACTACTTAAAATCCCATGTAAAATGCTCAAATGGAGGGGCAAGTTGTCCTAGGTGTTCAAACAAGGTGCCAGTGAGGTTGGAGAGATGGGTGGATTCTCTCAGAGAACACTTCAACGTCTTGTGCAGTGAGAGTGGATTTGACACCACGGCGACAAAGACGCACAGAATCAGCAGACAGCACAGGCCGCGGCTTTCTTTGGCTGCAGAAGATGGCGCGCCTGGCTGAGCTTCTGCACGACACATGCACAGATCTTCTTGGAGTGTCTCTGGTCATCGCTGCACTCACAGCTACCATGGAGCTTGCACAGATATACACACCCCTGCTCTGCAGCTTCTGCTTTGCCCAGCCAGAGCCTGTGACGGACTCTGATGGGAGCTTTTAGCAGCTAAGCCTTTTCGTCCTCTCCCGATGCCTCTGAGCCCTTCCAGACCCAGCCCCTTCATCCTTGGAAGAAGCCACTTGCTCCTCTCTTTGCCCCACAGCTCCTGATCCTAATTACAAGAATAAATAATTCTGTTCGTTTATTAGGGCATTGTGGTTCTGGATGCTTTTGGCATTCACTTTCTACTTGGTCCATCCTGGTAATGCTGGAAAGAATGTTAGGGCAGGAGCGACCTGGAAGGGAGGATGTCAGAGCACTTGCTCAAGGTTGCACTGAGGAGACAAGCCTGTTCTGGAATAAGGGTCTCCTGAGCCTTGAGAAAGAGTGATACCTTATTGAAAACAGCATCTCCATGCTCCCATTCCTGGGACTCGGTGTGTTCTGCCCTGAGAGGTTCATGCTGTCGTTCAGGCCTGCAGAATCGCCCAGGAGGCTTGAGTCCACGAAGGAGTCTAGGAGGGTCCAGCATCACCGATGCCCATCAAGGACCCAGGGCTTTTTTTTTTTGCAGTACCGCCAGCTTTTGCAAACGAGGGGTAGCATGGGGCACTAGTCAGAGACTGGGTCTGCTTTGGTTTCACTTATGCTTTGTAAAATAAGTTCATTCATGACGAGCAAGCTGTCATGTGAGCATGGAAAAACATCAAGGGTATTAATTTAATCAAGTGAAACTTAGAGCAAAATTAATACAACACATTTAGTGGTATCATAGAATTAATGCCTGGCATGGCCGTTAGGCATGGTAAACAGCTTACACGAACGGCTCTAATTAGCATTGCTTTAGTGGAGCCAAATCAGTTTTTACGTTGCTCTCGTCCCATTTTATTGGTTCTGCAGGATTTATGTAGTTGCCTTTCGCCACCTGAAGTTTTACCTGATGTCACTTGCCATCCAGCCTCTAGGTTGTTTGAAGCGTGTAAGGGTAATTCAAGGCCGAAGAGAAAAACGCCTTGCTTCCTCTGAACCATGTCTACTCCTGACCTTGAGGTGTCCTTATTTCATAACATGGGCCCGTTTCTTCTTACGGTTCCCTCCATGACTTCCTCTCTTTCGTGACGGGTTAGCAGAGAGAAGAGATAACAAGTTCACACACCTGTCATTTACAAGGAGAGATGTCTTGCTCTTTGCCAGAAGGAAACTTTACATTCCCTGGATGCTGAGCAGATTCATAGCCAACCCGGACTGTTAAATCCAAACAGACCAGCAGCTTCTGCCGAACACAACCTGAAAGCTGTTATGGAGCTGCTTCCAGTTTCTGGTCTTGAGGTGGGGTGGGGAACAAATGGACTGAAATTCAGAGCCTAAGGTGATGTCCCTGACCATAACTGTCACTCCAGTTCTTTGGTCTGGGTCCAATATGTGGTTTCTGAAGAGCTGGAAGGATGCTAGTCAAAACGGCTTTTCCTTGTTGCTTAGCGTGTATGTGTGGTGAGCTCTCTCCCTTCCAGAGAGGAAAGGGCAGCGACTGGACCATTGAAAAGCCTGGGACAGTAGAGAAAGCCTGGCCTTAGACTGGAGTCTCAAGTGAACATGGGATGTGAGGGTAAAATGATGGAAGACTCAAGGGAATAGTTACATTCTTTAAAATTTATTCAAATGTCTGTTCACTACTTCTTAGAGCTGATGATGAACGCTATCTCCTCCATTAATAATGTGCCCATCCATGAAGGTCAGAGTGGGCTTGCCATCTTGGAGTTTAGAGTGGCAAGTGACAAGTGTGTGTGTGTGTGTGTGTGTGTGTGTGTGTGTGTATACATTGCACATTCAAAGTGGTTCTTGAAAGCCACAACACCAAGATAGAGGTTGTTGCTTTTTTTTCTTTCTACAAGAGAGAGGAAAAGGATAGGAAGTGGGAGCTAGTGAAAATGGGGTTACCATGGGCTGGAAGGTAGCTCTGCTGGTGAAGCACTTGCCTTAAAATCACCAGACCCTGAGTTCTATTTTCAGAACCCACATTAAAAAAAAAAAGCCAGGTACAGGGGCATTGCTCAGTGTCTTTCCTGTCTTCTGGATCACTGCACAAACATGAATAAACATGTCTATCCCACCACTTGCTTCAAGTCCTGAGGGCTCTTAGGGTGGGGGGAGGGTGCTGAGAGACAGGACAGGAATAGGTCACTTCTGTGTCATCACCAGCCATTATTAACCAGTGCCAGGAGTCTCCTGCTATGCATCTGTGGCCCTGTGTCTCGGATGGCATGGGACCCCTTCCTTTGCAGAAGCCCATTGTCCTCATGAATCTTTGGGACCAGCGTGGACTTAGGCTGACAATTGCATGAGGATGGCACAGTGTCGGGGTTAGTGTAGAGAAGTAGAGAATGCACCAAAAGATGGGATACACCAAGACACTGAGCAGGAAGGAACCCCTACAGGGTGCAATTTCAGATTGTCTCCCTGCAGAGGCATCAGAGGGAGGAGGGGTAGAGAGTGTGGGAGACCAGGGCTCAGTGCTGGAGTAAAGAAGAGTCAAGGAAGAGATTCTGGGGCAGCTTCACTGGGAGCACACGGGTGGTCTGGCAGTGGTCCGGAAGACAGGAGAAGGCCCAGGATGCCTTTTAGCAACCATAGTCAGTACAGCTGGCCTCTGTGAGCTGCAGCCTTGCCTCGTTAGTCAGCCTTGAAAGTTCCTTGAAGGATCCTTAAGGTTGACTTAGACAGTCATCAACCATCCATGGCCCCAGGGTCTTGGGAACTATAGCTGAGGGATAAGCGGCTCTTGGGGAAGACTCTATAAGATTCTCCTTTTGTCACCTTCAGGAGAATTGCTGCTTATGATGAAGAAATCCAGCATCTCTATGAGGAAATGGAACAGCAGATCAAAAGCGAAAGGGAACAGTTCCTTCTAAAAGTGAGTGTTCCAGTCCTGGGCCTGGTGCTGGGGAATAATGGCTGGTTAACTTACCTGCTCTGAACATCTTTCCTCAATAAAATCATCAGCATCCTCCTATAACCTTCTTTTTGTCCCCCTGCTTCAATGTTCAAGGCACTTATCACTTCCAAGTAAAGTGTATAGTATACTTATTTATTTTTATTCCATGTTGTCTGTTTCCTCCTCCTAACATGTATGTTCCTTTACTTACTAACCCAACCTCAGTTTCTCAAGCATGCCTGGACTGTAGGAGATGCTCTATAAATATTTGCTCAATCAATGTGTGAGTGAGCATGTGAATGCATAGAGCTGTGGTTGGATGAATGACAGCAAGGAAGGGAGAAAGGGGAGGAAAAGGAGGAGAAGAGAACCAGGAAGGAAAAAGATGGATGGATAGATAGATAGATAGATAGATAGATAGATAGATAGATAAAGAGAAATAAATGAAATTTTGTTGAATGGATAAGAGAGAAGGGGAGAAAGGGAGAGAGAGAGAAGGAAACAGGAAATAAGGTAGGTAGGAAGGAAGAAGGATATGTGTGATGGATGAATTAGAGAGCATACTTTTGCAGCTACAATGACCTGGACATTGGGTGTCACACAGCGGGCCCCTATACTTATATAGCAGGCCCATCAAAACATACCACCCCCAATGGAGACAGTGATTAGAGATGAGGCCATTCACCCTTTCCTCTTAAACAACTCACCAAGAAAAACCCACAGCCACCATCCTTAGTACCAAGAGTGAAGCCTGTACCCCCTGTTCCTCGTATATCCCTGTTCCCAATGTACCCCTGCTCTGGTACAGCCATGTTTCTGGTACCCCCATTCCTGGGGCACCCTAGCTCCTAGTGAACCCCTGCCTACAACACACTCCTGTTCTCAGCATCCCCTATTCCCAGGGCACCCTATTCCCAGTATACCTCATGTTCCTGGTATACCAATGTTTTGATGTACCCCCATTTCTGGTGCACCCCTGTTACTAGACCTATGTACCTCAGCCTTTCAGCCCTTGTTATTTTAGGAGGTGAGGACCCTCTCTTCTACCACGCTAATCTGTTTTATGTTTGCCACTTAAAAGAAAAAGATCAAGGGGAACTCTGTTCTCCCTTCCATGTACCCCTCTCTATGAGTTTTCAGCAGAGCTGCTGGCCTTGGAATGCAGCCTTGGTTTCCTTTCAGCACTAAGCCCAGGCCATTGTCTCAGGCTCTTCCCTTGATCCAGATTTCAATTTTCTGCTGCTTTGGATTATCCACACCACTGCTCCACTTAGCATCACAGATGCCATTCACACTGCTGGGAAATCAGAATGCCTTCCCGAAATATCTGGCCAGAGCCCCCGGAAGCTTGCCACTATTTTCAGACCACCCCTATTGTCCTTTAGTGCTTTAAACCGTTGTGGCTGTTCCAGTGTTCAGGCAAACTGGATGTGTATGTGGCAAATGGAATCCGCACTCATCCATCAGCAGATCTAAAATAGTTTCCAACAACAGCAGCTCCCCCAATCTGCACTAGGAAAGCCTCCTCCATCATCCTATGACAGACTGCACAGAGGAGACAAGCTCAGAGGATATGTCCCCTCTGCCCAGGTCATGACTATAGTTGAGGTATGTTTCCAACAACAAAGGGTGGCCGCAGGCGTGGGGGCTGGGAGTGAGGTTGCAGGAGAAGGAATTAAGGACCAGTTAGCATCATTTCAGATGACCTCGCTCTGGTACTGTGCCTCCTCCCAGACTCTCCTTTCTCGGTTCTAAATGCCCAGCCCAGAAAGCTCAGTGATTGCTCTTGAGCTTCTGCTGTGAACATGAAAACTCCAATGATGACTTTGGCAGTGCCATTAAGACTGTAGATACAGCCTTTCACTGGTCCCAGAGTTAGGATAAGGATAATACCATCTGTGACATCATAGAAAAGGCCAGAGCCTCTGACCACAGTTTGGATGCTGACTGTACCCATATCAGTAAATTTGACCATGAGAAAAATACCCACTCGTTCACATCCCTAACTCCAGCCTGGGAGATGGCCCCCAGTGATGTCCTAACAGGGTCAGTAGTATACCCCGTGAGACCTGTAAGGGTGGATGCATCGGCGTGGGATTCAGAAACCACTTGCTGCTCCAGCCTTTGTCATGAGGTGCTTGTTCCATGAGCAGTGGCCAAGTGAGCTAAGTAGGTCCCTTGCAGCTGATTCTCACCAAACAAAAGCGAGGGTCGAGACTGTCTGAGGAGACTCCATCTGGGCCATTGCATACGAGTCAGGTGAGGATGCCACATGTCTTGTGGCATCACCTCTGGTCGCTGATCTGTTCGAACGTGAGCAGAAGAGCAAGTAGCAGCACCGGAAGAGGCACGCACCTTTGAGCAAAGGTGACCAAAGGCTTGTAAGCCAGAAACAGCTGATCTGACAGACACGGTAGCCAGGACCCCTCTAGTCACCAAGAGCAATATCCCACAGCTGCTCCCCTCTTGAGGCCATCTCTCTACCAAGGACCACCCTGGGGCCTTCAGCAGCTCCTGGTGTGTTGTTTTCTTTTCCAGTATATTCAATAGCTTGTCCCTTCCTTGCCTTGTAAGTAGAGTGCTACAGGGGGCAAAAGGCTGTTGGCTTCGATTCTGTCAAGATCCAGAAAAATAAAGCAACTTAGAAGAACACTGGAGGGACTCAAACCCAAGTTTCCTGATGCAAAACCTAGAAGTCTTGCACCCCTCCTGGCTCTGCTGGTAATGGTGGGCCTCCAAAACCCCACACTCTCTGCAACACTGCAGCCAGACAGCACCGCATCGGTACCCAAAAGCCTTGTCAGCTCTGTGAGGAGAAGCCCAGGGTGGGGCGTGAAGGGAGGAGCATGTCCAGTGCATAGCAGAGACGTCTTGAGGAGCGTAGCCCAGGCCCCCTGAATCATGGTGAGCAGTGAACACTCAGATCCGCCAGGAGGCAGGAGTTGTGCATTGTGCCCAGAGCTAGTGTGGTTTAAGGGACCAGTGACGATGTCCATCATGAACTAAAAGCTCCATGTTGGAAGCTGTTTTAGATATTTACAGCTGGGAGGTTGGCTTCCCAGGCTTCCTTTCTCCCCGTATCACTCCCCCAGTGATTGTTCTTAGGTCATTGTTCTGGCGGGAAAGCACAGCAGGGCACTGCCACAGGACATGGCCACATCCACAGAAAGTTTTCTAGCACATCTTGGATCGCTAACAGTCTCATGGGTCCTCCGTGGTGGAGTACGTGGGTCAGTGACGCCTGAGGCTTCAGGGGAAGAGCCTCAAAGTGAAAAGGGAGTGGTGGCCCAGCTGATGGAGGAGTTCTTACAAGGCCGTATGCCGGGTGCGCTGGGGTTAGGACCCACCATCTTCTCTTCTGGCTTAACAGGACACAGAGAGGTTCCAGGCCCGCAGCCGGGAGCTGGAAAGGAAGCTGAGCGCCAAGGAGCAGGAGCTGGAGCGTCTCAATCAGAAGCAGAGGAGGGTAGGTCACTGCGGAGACGCCTCAGCTCTTCCAACTCATCTTGCCTCTGCCTCACCCCCTCTGTCTCTCGCTCACGGGATTTTAAACCTGCGGGTCTGAGTGTGTCTTCCTTTAAAGTCCCCCCACGAGGTGGGTGTATTGACACGTGCATGTAATTGCCTCACTGGCGAGACTGAGGCAGGAGGATTGTGCGTTCCAGAGCAGCCTTGTGGGCATAGTTCAAAGTGCAGCCTGGGCTATACCTCGAGACCCTGTGTCAAAATGCTAAAACATCTTAAAATTTAAAGCAAAAATCACAGATGGCCGTAGGCAGAGCCACAATCGGATGTCTAGCCTAGAGATGTCCCTGTAGCCTTCTGTGTCCCTGTGAGTCACCCAGCCCCTGGGGGTCTGAGGACAGTTTCACATAATGATCCCCGAAGGTAAGAATGGATGCTAAACCTTGAAGTTGGTCCAGGCTTCCTGCAGAAGAAAGGAGGAACCAGAGGGAGTACAGAGACACTTGTGTAGTCGCTGATATTCCAGAGGAAGTGCAGACATGTTTTTCCTCTTCAGCATGGCTGTGGACACCCCCAGATGGAAAAGGCTCTTTAAAGAACTGCCCACATGCCAGGAAAGAGTCCACGACGGCCTCTGGGACACGGGTTAGATGCAAACACCAGTCACTCCCCGGTTGGTACCTGAGGAGAGAGACAGCCTCTGTGGTATACTCTACAAGGCAGCAGTTGTGTCTGGAGCTAAGGACCCCAGGCTGGTGGAACCAGGTTGCCAGGCCGACTGTCTTGCTCAGCAGACTTTTCAGAAAAGCAAGACCTCGTGGTGGAGAGAGGCCACGGCAGCCCTGACCTCCAGTCTCAGTTTGCCTGGTGGTGGAAGAAATCCAGCCACGGACAGACCCAGCCACGTGGCTTTCCTGGGAACAGCAAAGGTTATTTTTAGCAATCTGTGAGATGAGCATCAGCTTGGAGATCCCCCTGTTAAGGCTGGGGCTGCTGCCCCTGCCACTCGTTGGCTTCAGGTCTAAATGTCCTTCTTCTCTCTAGCAAGAGGCTGCAAAGCCTGGGAACTGCCCACCGCTTTTCCATTCTCTGTCCACAATCAGCTTTGCCTCTCAGTCCCTCTTAGCCTCCTTTCTGTCATGCATTACATTCATAACAATTAAATTTATCCCTCAAATGAATGATTGCCACTCCATTTAATTACTGCACGCTTGCCTAATAACACAGGAGCCTCATGAGAGGCTCACAGCATTCCTTGTTGCTGCTTTTCTCCCCTCACTGGCCACATTCATGAAACTAAATTTATTATGATCTATTTGCCTTGGTGTGCTGCTCTGTCTGGTGAGGGTTGGAGGCTCCACAAAGCCCACTCTCCAGCCAAGAAGAGCTGAAGTTATCAAAATGCACATCTTAAAGTCACTTCAGGGATGCAAGAAAAAGCACAAGGTCTGTTTGACCTGGTTTGGTTGTTTCCTCAGAATCTCCAAGGTCTGAGGCAGTCGAGCAAAGCTGTCTCTTAGATGAAAAGAACTGGGCGCCTGTGGCTGAGAGGAGAAAGGGAATGGACGAATTTCCTATGTGTGTTCACCACAGGGAAGGTAGCATCATGATGAACAGCCACTTTGCTGTTCTCTGACCCTGTTAGGGACCAAGGTAAAGACATTGGCTTTGAGGACAAAAGGTACTTCAATGGGGTCTCCAGTGCATGCTGCCTTTGGGAGAGAAGACACAGGTAAACAGTGGACTTTTCAGGGCCACCCCAGGCCTATCCAGCAGTCCCATGTGGAGACAGGAGGGACAGAATGTGCAGATCTCTACATGGGACTGATGGAGCAGAGCTGTGCTGACTTGGGCTGGAGGGCAGTATGGGACTGAAGCAGCTATGGTCCTGCCCTTGTTCATCCTTCCTCTCTGTCCCGCTTTGTAGCTGGAAGGCCAATGCACAGCTCTGCACAATGACAAGCATGAGACCAAGGCTGAGAACACCAAGCTGAGGCTCACTAACCAGGAGCTGGCCCGTGAGTTGGAACGCACCTCCCACGAACTCCAGGAGGCCCAGCAGCAGCTGGAGAGCCTCCAGAGAGAGGCCTGTGAGCTGCAGCAGGAGAAGGAGATGTGAGTCCAGTCCCAGACACTGCAGGGTGCTGCGTCCTGTGGTGGGGATCAGGATCTCCCCTCCCAGAGACCCGTTTCCTGGTCCGTGTGTGAGGTGGAGTGTTGGGGTCCTTATTCACTGGGATTTTCCTCTCTCTCCTTTTCTTCTTTCCTTCCTTTCTTCAACAGAGTCTCACTGTGTAGCCCACATTGGCCTTGACCATAGCCTCAGCCTCTTGAGTTCTGGGGTGACAGGCATGAACACACATGCACACACACACACATACAGACTGCTGACACTTTGAGACTTCTAACCCTCTTCAAGCATCTGAGACCTACTGAACAAAGCAATGCTGTGCTGGCGCTTCACAAGAAATAGCTCTTGCCCTAGCTGCTCTCTGTTGCTGTGCTAAAACACTGACCAAAACCAACCCGAGAGTGGAAAAGGTTTATTTGGCTTACAGGTTTCATCCCACCATCAGGGGAAACCAAGGCAGGAACCCTGAAGGAGGGAACTGAACCAGAGACCATGGAAGAGTGTTGCTTACTGGCCTTTCCGGCTCATGCTCAACTATGTTTCTTAAAGAGTGCAGCCCCGTCTGCCTAGGGATGATTCTGCCCACAGTGGGCTGGCCCCTCATACATCTATTAGTAATCAAGAAAACAGCCCACAGACATGCTCACAGGCCAGTCTTGTGGAAGGAACTCTTCAACTAAAGTTCCCTCTTCCTGGGTATGTCAAGTTGACAACCGGGATTAGCCATCACAGCCCTGGTTCCCCAAAATTTATTATGCAGTTAGAAAGACCTGCTGTTCTACCCATACATAAGGAGGCAACCCAAACAAGGAATGAAATATCAGAGGGCCCTTTATTCCTGTTGAAGGCCGGAGGCCAGGGGCTTCGGGTAGATGAGAGTGGAAAGACTTCTGAGGTCAGCTGGCAATGTGACTCGTGTGTGGCAGGGCTCTGGAATAATAGTTCAACCCCTAGCCATTTTTTTTTTCTAGCAGTGTTCCTGTGAGAGGACTGTCTGAGCACTCAAGGGAACCATATATCTCTCAAAGCTCAGCTTCCTGCTCACTGCTCTTAGGGCCCAGCCATTGCACTCAGGCAGCTAGACAAAGGCAGAGCCATGCCTGAGAGCAAAGTGGGTGGGTCTTCACCTGAAGCTGGAGGGGATGATGACAAAGCAGCCCCTTCACCTTTGGGGACATTGGGTTTTAGGAACAAAGGACTCTAAGACCAGCCAAAGGGACTTGCATATTTATTTGGCCATTGATTTATCTACATGCTCATGGATGTCCTCACCTGACAAAGAGTCGTGGGACATTGTTCCATGCTAGGAACCTTTGGCCTTCAACATGTCTCACTTAGATCAAGAACTTGACCTTATCTCCTCTGATCCTGCCATGTTCCTATGTGCCTGGTGTATTGTCAGTCTGATTGAGGGGCAAGGAGAGTGCAATCTTGGAAGTTAAATAGTGAGCCTGCCAGACACACCCACTCATGGGTAGGACCAGAACCCACTTCATTCACTTGCTCTTCACTTCTTCATTCATTCACATCCTTCATCCATTCTGCCAAGGGTCATGTTGTGCCTGAAAGACATCAAGTGTACCAGTGGTCTGACTTCAGGGCGTGGGATAGTAGGACTGACAATCAGAAAAGGCTTTGCACAGCGCATCCTAAGTGCCTTTGTTCAGTGCTGGCAAGATTCTGGTATGTGGAATACATTCAAAATGCCCCCAACAGTTCTACTCCCATTTGGAGTCAGAACCATTTGAGATGGACTGCCTGGATGAGAATGAATGAATGAATGAATGAATAAATGAATGAATGAATGAATGAATGAATGAATGAATGAATGAATGAATTGCCTGGGAATATCACCCGGTAAGAGATCTCCCATTGTAAGATAAATAAATGACTCCCAAGAAGCTGACTTAGAATGGAGCCCAGCCCGCATGCAGTGCTTTGGATGGCTAGTCAGGGGGACCATACATTTCCTCATAAACAGGCTGAGTCAGTTCCTCCACCCTGAGAGTACGGCACCAAGGCACAGGTACCTAGCTTACTATAGAATTAGGGATTCAGGCAGCCTGAATCTAGCCAGCCTCTGAGAACTGCAAACATCGGAAGGCAGAGACATTAAGACAGCGAAGGAAAACAAACACTTGTGCTGAGCCTCACAACTCAGCCCAGGCAGTCAGAAATCTTCACGACTCTTAATTAAGACAGCCAGAGGTGCAATCTCTGAAAAGATGGAGGCAAGGGAGTGAGGAGGAGAAGAGAGGCAGGAAACGTGTGATCAGGAGCTTGGGATATCTCAGGGATGTGACAGGTCCAAGAGAACCCTTCCACCCAGGGAAGCCAGGGGAGGGGCCAGCAAGAGTCCTGCCTTATTTTCTGGAGAGTGGAGTCTCCCACCAACACCCTTGGCAGTACCATAAAGCTTCTGTTCGCTGTCCATTTCACAAAGGAAAATCAGAGGCTCAGAGAAGCCACCTGACCAGCTACAAGGTCAGGCCAGGGCCCAAACCTCTTTCTATCAATGTTCCTTGTAATGCGGTATTGCTTCAGAGCTGCTGAGAGGGGAGAAGGAGGAGACAGGAAGTAAACAGACTCAATCATTTATCAGCAAGAATCCCGAACGGGCAAAATTAATTTTCCCATTCTCTGAAGACATTGAAGGTAGAAAAATTAGATTTGAGGATGAGATTTAAAAAAAAAAAAATCTTAGGCATCGAGATAATGCAAAAATGAAGGCCAGCCTAAAAGCTGCTCCCCTGAGCTGATTTTTAATTAACTTTTATTTTGAAGATATAGTTTAAGACAAGATACAAAAGAGTGACTCCCCAAGAGAGATTGGTCTCTTCCTGTGACCCCCATCTCTGGTGGTCTATTTCTGGAGTCTGTTATGCATGTGTGAATATATCCACATACACACATTTGCAAACACCCACGGGAGCACATCCACACATGTACACACACACACACATACACACACACACACACACACACACACACACACACACACACACACACTTTTCTTTAGAGAATGGCAGCCAGCCAGGCATAAAGGTTTGTTTTACCTTTTTCACTTAAAAACATATTTTGTAGAATATGTGTTATAGCTTATCTCTTTTCTAAAAAACAAAGCCAACAGCAACTCTGTGAGGGAAATTACACACTTCCCACCAAGCACTATAACAAAAATCAGATGGTTCCCTCTCTCCCAGTTAGCTATCACCCAGGAAGAGAAAACTTCAATTCAGAGGGACTTAAAAGGTTAGTCAGTCAAATATCCAAGAGCCACTGTAAGATACTCTTTGGTTAACACACAAACACTGTATAGCTGGATATATGTATGTGTGGGTATATGTGTATTTTCATAAGTATGCTCTCTGTGTGTGTGTGTCCCTTAGTATTGTACACAGAGACAGAGAAGATCTGCATAGCATGAGGTTTATAAACTGCTTTCTCAAACACTGAAGACACAGTCCTCAGCTCTATAGTGAGCTGCCTCTCCTCAGCAGGAGACATCTTTTCTGTTGTCCCTGGGCAGTGGGGTAGGAGCTAGTCAGAAGAGTCACCCAGCTGGGCCCAGGCCTCTTCAGCAGCAAGGACCTGACAAGAGCAGGCAGGGCTTCCTGTGTTGAGCTCATCAGAGCAGAGTCCTAGGCAGGGGCTCAGGGATCCAGTTTGTATAATGGGAAATGCACTGTTTTCCCCTAAGTTGAAATTAAATATAATTGGTAATAAAATGTGAGGAATTCACATCTCCGCAGGAGCCAGCAGAATTATGTTGCTTAATTAGGATTGTCTGAGGTGAACTTAGAATTTGATTCAGTCTGTTATGGTCGTCGAGTGACTTTGTAATTATTCTGTAAAGAAGAAGAAAGCAAAGACACTGATGACGACGCTCAAGGAATGAAGTTATTAGGCGTTTGGTGGGAGGGTCCCCAGGCTGATGCAATCGTCAGCTGCTCAGTAATGGCACTGAGAGGTGGCAGAGGGGTGACTCTCCTCACAGCCCAGTGAACACAGTCAGATGGAAAGTGACAAGCTTATCAGGCTGTTGGGGGTTCTCCACCAGAGAGCCACACTGCTGTGGAAATCCGAACTCCGGGCCCTTGGTGGTGAGATTGGAGAGCCACCTAGATTCCATGCTGAGGTTGAGAGAACAGAGATGAACTTGAGTTTCCAATGCTGCCTGCTCCTGCTTCCTTTTTTTTTCTTTCCTTTTCTTCCTTCTCTTCTTGCCTCCCTCCCTTCCTTACACTTTGCCTTCCTTTCTCTTTTCTTCCTTCATTTTCTCCTTCCCCACCTCCCTTCTTTCCTCTCTGAAATGCCACTGTTTCTTTGTACAACGGTAGCTTAGACAGCCCCCCGCCCCAGGCCACCACTCACTTGGCTGTGTCTGCTCTTTTCTAGGGAAGTGTACCGAGTGACAGAGAGTCTCCAGCGGGAGAAGTCGGGCCTTCTGAAGCAGCTGGATTTCCTAAGGTGGGTACATCTGGGAAATCATCCCTGCCAGTACTCTAGAACAACACGATGCCAAGAGTGCTCACGTTTCCGCAGTCGCCAGTGTGTGGGGTGGGCTGTTGAGTACCACCCTCTGGGGAGGCGTTTACTCACGTGCCCTCCTACCTCTACAGTTCATTCCTCTGTGTGTCAGGCTCTTCCTCGTCCTTGCTGTCTTGTTGGGACAGTTCATGGTCCTTGGTTGAGAAGGAGTAGGTCTGAATGGGCAGGTCTGAACGGGCAGCAACTCTATGACAAGTATAAAATCTCACCTTCAACAAAGGCATTGAGTCTGGGAGGTACTGGTCTATTCTGGTATCAACCAAGAGCATGTTGGTATCTGAGAAATGAATTGATTGCTGTAACACCAAACGGAAATCCATGTCTGACCGACTCTTACCTGAGCCGTAGAATGAGCAAATGCATCACACACAGGGCTAAGAAAGGAGTTTCCGTATCTTGTAAAACCCACTGAAATAAATTCAGAGTTCACTGGCCTAGGATGTACCAAGAAAAGCAAGCACAGAAGAGGAGAAAGGTGGGCCTTTGGGGTTTGCTTATAGTTTTCCATAGGCTGTACGTGCCATCTGCTGATGGCCTCACTGGGCACAGTGATGACAAAGGGCTTTAACTCTTTGTTTTCAACGTGCAAGTGGCTTTGAATCACTTCCCGGTGCGTATGAAATGTCGTGTGACTGTTTTTGTGATGGCAAGGTGAGGCCAGCGACTGATGTGTTTAGTGGTGAAGAATTCAAAAAGAGGTGTTCTGCTTGGAGTGAGATGAGGCCTGCCCTGGTCAGGAGATGGAAGAGCTCTTAAGAGGCCATATTCTACACCACTGGAGACAAGGTCTTTGTTCTCAGGAGGCTCTAGGAAGAGAACAAGAGTACAAGGACACTTGATTTTGTTTTTGTGTTATTAATTTGTTTTTTTTTTATTCTATTGTACTTAAAAAATAACGGAGGGATAGGTCCAATGAGAGTGAATAGAGGGCATGGCATGGCCCTCTACTGATGTTCACAGATCTTTCTCTTAGAGATAAGCCTTTGTGAAGTTCAGACTCACAGGCCCAAAGCCTCTCTATGCTGTCACGTGGTTACTACAGTTAAGCAGAGGGGCTGAGGCTGATTTCCCAATCAGTGAAATCACCAAGAATCCAGGAGAAAGAGAGAATGTTGGAAAGTGGGGCAGGGGTGAAGCGGGACAGTGAAGTGTAGGGTAGTGGTGAGACCAGGACCATGTCTGGAGTGTGAGACATGAGGACTTCCTTAACCTCTGCTCATGTCCTGCACAGAAAGAATAAACAAAATAGAAAACAACAGAGTACACTTTGCCATGAAGCAGTGATCTCAGAGGCCTTCTAAGTCCTCATTGGGTTGCCAACTTGCTGCTTAGCCAGCACAAGGGTCCTTCAGCACAAGTGAGTGTGAGATGCTCACTTGGCCATTGTCAGGGTTTACCTTCCACATCTCTTCCCCAGACTTGTCCCAAGGGCCTGGCTGTGTCCCTGAAAACAATGAGACAAGCTGCCAGTGTTTTCTTCAAGAGGGATGGCATTGCAGGTCCTGTTTCTTGGTTGTCGTTCCTTGGGACAGCCCGAAATCTGATTCTACAGGCATAGTGCACTTTCCGAGTACAGAACTCCGTGGTGGCTCACTCCTGCATCCTGGATGCTGAACAAAGTTTGGCAATCAACACCTGTTCCAGGAGATCTGCCTTCAGAGAAGGCAGAGAAGGAGCCCACCAACAAGTCACAGGGGGACACAGCATCCTGTACCATGTCATGGAGGCTGAGTGTTCCTCAAGGGCAGTATGTGTCACAAGGCCACTCAGTCTTATCCCCCTGTCCCTGCGCTGATTTACACATGAACTTCCTCTGTCCATAGCCACATCCCCCGGCCTTCCATACCATCTGGCTGGCTAATGGGATCTGTCAGCTGCAGAGTCCATGTTTGAATAGCTCTCCCTTACTGTCCACAGGGAAAGGAACAAACATCTCCGGGATGAACGGGACATAAGTCTTCAGGTAATTGGCCAGTGCTCTTTTGGGACTGGGAGCGGAGGGAGACAAGGCCCAGGGGCCATCTGATCCATGCCAGGACTGATCAAGACTGCCCTGACACTCACAGTGTATGCGATATGCAAGCAGTAAAAAGGTAACCACGCACGGATTTTTTTTTTTTCCATGAAGGGAAATGACTTCCTCTTGGCACAATCAGACTCCAATGTTTGGGAGAGCCACACATTTCTTGGATGTAAAAGTGATAGTTCCATCGTGAAATGGCGCAGTTGAAATGTCATGGTCACGTGAAGTCGAATGCTCCGTTTGTTCTTTCATTTAAAATTTTATCTCCTGATGAAATTCTCAAACTTTATGCTGTCAGAAAGCAAAGCTGCAATGCACACATAGCTATTTACACAGCTGATTTATGTGTATAACTTTATCTCTACTTTATACATACCTAAACCGTACCTCTACTCTATATGGACCTCCTCTATACACCTGAGCACAATGCTCCATAATTTCCCAAACAGTATGACATTCACAGGTCTTTACAGTGGGACACATAAAAGATACTCTAGAACTGCTACTCCTCTCTTTTCCCTTTTAAAAGGGAGACATTGGATTTGCTGAAGGGGCAGGGCAGCTCAATAAGACCTCCTAATTGTAAGATTATCATGCTGTGAACTCCTGTGTCCCTGGAGAAGGCGTTGGTCACCTTCAACATGATTCCAACTCTCATACAAGGAAGGGGAGTTCCTGATCTCTTTCTCCCAGGTTATAAGGATTTTTGAGGGGGAAAAAATCGTAGAGAGAATGTGTTGTGTGCTATGTGCTGTGTGCTGCAGCCTTGGCTGAGCAGTAACCTAAATACAGCCAGCCTCTGAGAGTTGCCACACCCTGAATTAGGCCCTGCCTGGCTTATGCTGCCATCCTGAGGGTCCTTGCTCCACTACTGTTTCTTTCGCATCACCAACCAGCAACAATCATCTCAGCCGCCCACCTGTGTGCACTATCAGGGCAATACTTAAGCCTACACATGTTTGTCTGATAATGATAATGATTATAATTGTTTTAGAAGGAATTCTGATTAAAAAAAAAAAAACAAACTCCCAACCAAATGTCGTCCTAATCCCTTCACCTCACTTTCCTCCCCCTGCCAAATTCATTTTGTTTTGAGAGAGAAGGGGTAGAAGGAAGAATTCCAGTAGGGAATCAAAGAAAGGGGGATGGAGCTCCACTGATGCAGCATAACAATTAAAGATTTGCCTGGGATCATTAAAGCCATGCCCTCGAGGTTGCTGGGGGCTCAGCAGTTCCTCCCCTTGTGGTTCGTCTGGGAGCATGGAGAGGCTGATTAAGGCGGTACTCTTCCTGTGGTCTGACTACCCGTGTCAGCTGGAAGAACTCTGTCTCAGACTCTTGGCAAAGGGGTTCTGGGTTCTGCTCCTCTGAGCCCTGCTCCTCCTGGGTTCTGGGAGATTAAAGCCAACAAGGAAGAGAGTGACTTAAAATATTTTCCTATGTAGCATGTATCTTTTTCTCTTTTGATCTCTTACAAATTACCAGTTCCTGTGAAGAATGACACAGGAGGCCCCAGGCCCTCCACTCGGTATTCCCTTCTCTGAGTGCATTTCTGGAAAGAAGATGAAGGAATCCTAAATGGGAGAGATGGGCGGGGGGGCGTAGAAATACAGGAGAGTGGGTGACTGAAGAGGAAAGCTTGTCCTGCCTCTCTTCAGAGCCCTGTTTAGATAGAGTCTTCATTTCTTCCCAAGCATCGTGACATATCTACAGGCATGGTGTATCTCAGGGCATTTTGTGTTTCTGCAGAAAGATAAGGCAGCCAAGGCAAACACAGCTGCTGCCAAGGCAAGCAGAAAGCAGAGATCTGGCTCTGTGATCGGCAAATATGTGGATGGCAAGGACATCCTCAGGAGGTAAGTCATCACCCACCACTCCTACTTTTTCCCTTCATTCATCTGAGCCTCTGAGCCCACATTTACTGGTCCTTTGTGGTGTGTCCCTATTAGTTTGGCCTGAGGTCAGTCTCACTCACTTTCCTTGAATCTTGGAGGGACTGGCCTTCTCCATTGTGTTATCCAAGCTAGAGAGTGACTATGCAGAACAAACCTGACCTGTAGGACAGAGAGCATCTTTGAGGCTACCCTGCCCTGCCCTGCCCTGCTGTGGGCCTGCAGAAAGGGACTAAGGGGCACTTCAGGCTAACTTTGAAGGAGGAGGAGGGAGTGGAGATGATCAGGGAGAAAGTGACAGAGGGAGTAGCTGGACAGTGCTCTACTTCTTGGAACTACTTGTTTTTTTTCTGGAATATAATTATACTGACTGTGAGCTGAATTAAAATGTCATATAGAATCACCCTTAGCTGAAACCCTTTAGAGACAAAATTAGGGCCTGTGATTGACAGATTCCTTCCAGTGATTCATATTTAACTCGCTGAAAGGCAGCATGTTTTGTTGGTATTGGAGGGCACACGAATTGAGCTTGAGTATGGAAAGTGTTGGCTTGCTGCTCATTCAGACAGACAAGGCAGTCCTCTACTCCCCCCAACCCCACCTCTTTTGAACAGGTACTGTATCCACATGGAAAGACACAGAGAGGTCAAGGCAGCTAAACCCTCTGTATCAGGCTGAGGGGAAGATGTGTAAACTCACTCACAGAGAAGATGCGCAAGCATGAACTGAAAATACTTGCAAAGTAAAAGTGACTTAGGGAGGTAAATGGGCTGATCAAGGAAGCCCCTGGGTCAGACCATCTCAATAGCTCAATAATGAGATACAATCTAGAAGCTGAACTTTCTATACTAGTATTTGTTAGCTGGTTGGTTTCTCAGAACCGAATGTGTTTCTAGGTTGATTGATTCGACAGTCATTTATGGATTGCCTACTCTGCACCTGACATTCTTTCAGGCTTTCTGGCATTCCCACTATGCCTAGCCACCATCAGTTGCTCGTGTAATAGATAGGTATTGAGTGGCAACTGTTGGCGAAATACGGGGCCAGTCACTTGAGCAGAGGTTTGCAAAATAGACCCCTTCTCTCCTTCGTGAGCTCACAGCCAAGCAGCAGAGATAGAAAATAACCCACTAAGCATCAAAGCTCTCTGAATTCCAGTATCGATTTTGGCAAAAGCAGCCACTCTCTCTAGTGCTGGCAGGAAGTGTTTGGTGGCAAAACAAAAAACGAGCTTAGATGCGCTAAGCTGAAGCCATTACAGAATGTCAACAGTTTTATTTGAGATCTTCCCAAATAAAACGCTTTTTTTTTTCCAAGAAGTGCTTCATTTTAGGGTACACTTAAATGCTTGTTTCATTTTCTGTTGAAATACCTTTGGAAAAACATGTAGTGTGTGTGTGTGTGTGTGTGTGTGTGTGTGTGTGTGTGTGTGTGTG